GTGATACAGCAATTTGTATACGGGGTAAAAGCGGGAGTTCATAATCCACTTGAATCAAACCGTGTAATATGATGTATTAAGAACTATGTAATGTTATGAACGACCAATTAAAAAAAAAAAAAAAGTCAGCATTTCAGATGATTTCCTTAACAACAGTTATTGCTGGTAAGAGAAGTAGGTTTATGGAAGACTTTCATGGTGGGCCTTATACCCTTCTGTAGTATTTAAACATTTTATTATGAGTTCACAAATGAGAAAATAAGATAAAAATATGCATAACATTTATGTAAAAGACAATCTGTCTATATAACATGCACATTAAAATATTGGAAGGATTGACCCCAAAGACTGCGGTTATTTCAGGGGAATGGGAGTCTCAAGAATAGGGCATAAAATGGATTTAATTTCATTCTCTCTCTCTCCAGCCATCATATTAACAACAACAACACAAAAATTTTATTTTGGCATGTATAAAGATATGAATTGGCATGAATATACTTTGTGTACAACCAGAGATATGAAAAATTGTGCTCTATATGTATAATAAGAATTAGTGATGCATTCTGCTGTCATATATAAATAAAGAATTAATTTAAAAATTTTATTTTGGAACAAAAAAGGAGGGGAAAGAGATCTAATGAATACCCACCAGCCTCTACCACTCAAAAAAAGAAGAATCTCAGATTTCAAAAGTTTAAGAATCTTACTCAAAATCACCCAGGATTAAAATCCAGATGTTTTCTTCCACAGTTCAGTCATTTAGATGTACTCGTAGCCCTTGTATTTTAGCAGCAAGCTCTAAAGTATAGTAAGCAGGAGAGTTTGGGAAGGCCTACTTCTTGGGGCTTTCCCATCTGCTTTAGGTGAGTAACTATTTGCCCAAGACTCCTGCCAGGATATGGCAGCCACTAAGAGAGTCACAAGATGGAACCAGCTCATGATCAGGAGGCAAGGTAAGACAGAGAATAAGAAGTCTGACAATTCTTAGATGACTGTCAAATGGGGATTCTTAATTACTTTTAAAAAATAATTACATTTTAAGATATGCAAAAGTTCTTTGAAGTTTGACATTGATGTTACCAAGGACTTGGGCCTAATTTCTTCTCTAATGCGAAAGGAGGGATTAAAAAGTGTATTTCTTGTTTTAATTAATTGTATATTTGAAAAATAAAATGGAATTCATTCTCATGACACAAATTAAAGAAGGTACAACTTGACACAAATCTGCTTGCTGGTTGAGTCACAAGTTCAAAAGGTTTAGAAGCACTGCATAAAGGGCTCTAGAACTTCCCAGGGGTTTAATATGCTATTTCCATATAACATGTTATTTCTACATAAATGAGAGAGCTAGCTTGGTTACCACATCTGTTCTATTCAGCATCATACACTTCAACCATGACTGGCTTCCGAATGTTCATGAAGGTTGCAGTTAGTAAGTCTGAATAGTGTGTGACAGCAGAACCATACTTTATTTCATAGATACCCTATATAACATTCCTTATGCCTTCCAAAGGTGGAAGGTATAAATAAGAAAGTAATAAAAATGCATCAACCTGGAAAGGTTATTTACTGCTAATGTGTCTCAATTGTTCCATTCAATAGACATTTGCTGAGCATGAACTATGTGATTTCTACCTTATTAGCCTATCCCAATTTAGTTAAGACAACACACTACTTACCATTTGTGTCCTGACATGTTTTCTTCTTCTTCTTTTTCTACTGTTGTTGATGCGGGGAGAAGGGGCAGGGAAAAAGCATGAGAGGATACGTTATATTAAACCTGAAATAAAACAAACGTGTTTAACAGTTACACATTATGTTACAATTACACATTAATGTGACACATAAAAATTGTCAACCCAAGCCATTTCTGGTTGTATTTTAGGGCCAAACACTATTCCATAGTAATGCTGCATATCAGTGTGGAGAATAGCTCAGCTAAATTACACTGGAAGAAATATCCCAAATGGAGCTTAAGAAATGAACAGGCAATATAATATTACCTATTGTTGACATAATACCAATATTATGTACAATGAGCTGTGTAATAAAACCACCATGGTTTTAATTAGCTTTTAAATTAAATTTATTTTAACTGACATATAAAAACATAAAATTGTACCTATTAATGTGGTAACATGTAATGCTTCCATGTAAAGAATTTCTTAGCACTGAAGAACAATAAATTCCAGACAGCGGTTGTCTGCAAGGGTTGTGATTTAAGTTTCAACATGTTAGGTTCAATGGTGAATTTATTGCATCCAGATTTGAAATATTTCATATTCAATGTTTTAAAGAAATGAACGAGCACATTGCAAAAACAAAACAAATAAAAAAATTTAAAACCCCCAAACCAAAAGATACCAATGAGAGTCTAAAGGAGGAAGCAATGTGATATTTAGCAGCCCAGCAATGAATTTTCATTTCATTAGTTAATACGGGAGCCACTTCTGGCCTTTGTCCTTACTCTATTTGCTCGAAGCTGGGAAGCTAGCCAGCCCAGGGGCACAGCCAAGCAGCCCAGCTACGTGAGCAACACCTGCCTATGTAGATACTGGAAAAAATAGAGAGCTCACTGCCCCAAAGGAGTGGCCTCAGGCTGCCACAGTGAGTGCTCAGCATGTGACCACTTCAGATGCTCCACAAAATCAACCCAATCCTTCTCTGTCTCAGACAGGGTCCTCAAAACCAGTACCCCTAAAATGATTAGAAATTTCCTAGGCTTTAAAAAAGTGGTTTAGGGAAGTAACTTAAGGTGTTGAAATTCCAGATTTCAGGAAGGGGAGGAGGAGGGAAGAGGAGAAAGAATGTTTAGATGTCTCTGCAATGATTGCATCCCATAATTGATCTCTGTTCCTCATGCAGGACACTCAGATATTTGGACAAGTGGCTCTGGGGATGACATTCAGCATGAGTGTGCTTTATAGCTTTGCCCTCAGTGTGGCCATGGAGGGACCACAAACTTCCAGTTCTCTCACAATGCACACAGCTTGCTTGCAAGTACGCATTTCCTTTAGCTCAAGATTTTCAACAAAATTTCTCACAAAAAGAAGTTGTTCAAAACAAATGAAATTGCCATGGTTCTTCCTAAGTTTCATTTTACCATGAACTATAAGGATAGTTAATGCTTTTTGATTAATGTTTTTATTGTGATAAAAAACACTTTTCTCTCTTAATTCTTAAGTATACAGGACATTTTTTGTTTGTTTGTTTTGGGTACTGGAGATTGAACCCAATGGCACTACATCCCCAGCTCCTTTTTAACTTCTAAATTTTGGAGACAGCCTCTCATTAAGTTGCAAAGGCTGGCCCCAAACTTGGGATCCTCCTGCCTCAGCCTCCCTTAAAGATGTGTGCCACTGCACCCTGTTCAGTATTGTTCAATATATGAACATTGCCGTACAGTGGATCTCTAGAACTTACTCATCTTGCATGACTAAAACATTATACCCACCTAATAGCAACTCTTCTGTATCGTTTTTCCAGTCCCTGGCAACTCCCTTTTTACTTTCTGATTCTATGAGTTGACTACTTTGGATACTACATATAAATGGAATCATGCAGTATTTGTGGGTTTATGATTGGTTTCTTTCACTTTGCATAACCTCCTTCAAGTTTATCCACATCGTAGCATGTGACTGGATTTCCTCCTTTGGTAAAGCTGGATGATATTCATTGCATGCAACACATGCTGTCAGTGGTCATCTGGGCTGCTCCCCCATTTAGCTATTGTAAATAATGGTGCAATGGTGATGGATGTTATATATCTCTTTAATATATCTTTCTTTTGGATATATAACCAGAAGTGGGATTGGAAGATCATATGGTAGTTCTATTTTCAATTTTTTGAGGGACTTCCATACAGTTTTCCATAGTGGCTGCACAATTTTACAATCCCACCAACAGCACAGGATGATGCTGTATCTCTTCGTCTTGTCAATGCTTATCTTAATTTTCATGTTTTAGTGGTTTCAGTCAAGTGATAGCCTATTATGGTTTTGATTTCCCTGATGATTAAGCAATATTGAGTATCTTTTCATATTTGTTGCCATTTTGTTTATTTTCTTTGGAGCAATACCTTTTGAAATCCTTTGCCCATTTAAAAATTGGATTATGTTTTTCTGTTACTGAGTTAAAGAAGTTCTCTCTGTATTCCAGATTTTAACTCCTTATTTAATATATAGTTTGCAAATATTTACTCCCATTCTGCAGGTTGCCTTTGATTTTGTCTCTGTTAATTGCTTCAAAGGAATCAACTTTATGATTATTAAAATATCTAACAATTGAAATTTTTTTATGTTAATGACAAAAATTACTGAGAAAACTGCTCACTCTACGTAGATTTCCAGGCTATTCCCAGATCATCATGGCTTGTGGCAGTTTTTGCTGACATACTATTTACAAACCATTGGAATCTTCTGGAGTATTACCATGCAGATTTATGATCCCCTTCCCTTCCTGGCTGACATACAATCTCTAGGAATGGGTCTGGGAATCCATGTTTTTGACAAAAATTACAAGTGATTTTTAAGCACATTAAAGCCTAAGAGCCTTAGTTAAATAACACACAGGATATGTCCCTTGTTTCTTCAACAAACTGCTGTATTATATGCCACTAGAGTAAGGAGTGTGGATGGCCAAGTCAGGTAAGCTCTCCAGAGCACATGTGAAGGTCTCAGGAGAAGCCAGTGCTCACATCTCTTTTTATACCTGTCCCAACTCCACATTAGAGACATTCTTAAGATAACCAGACCCAATCCATCCCATCTTGCTCTATCACTTTTCAAACCCAACATTGTCAAAATCACTACCTTAAAAATCATCATTGAGGCTGAGGTTGTGGCTCAGTGGTAGAGCACTTCCTAGCATGTGTGAGGCACTGGGTTCAATTCTCAGCACTACATAAAACAAACAAAAAAAATCAATAAAACAAAGGTCCATCAACATCTAAAAAAATTCAAAAATAATTATAATCCTAAAACACTGATTTCTGTCCAACACTTTGGTTTATCAAACATTTACTGAGCATCTAATAAATCTAGAGTAGACACTGTCTCTGGCCTCAAGGAACTTGTAAATCTAGATAGCTGTGTTCAACAGAAAAAACACTATCAACTGAACATGTAATTTTAAATGATCTCTTAGCTGTGTTAAAAAATGAATAAGAAATAGTGAAATAAATTTTAATATTTTATTTAATTCAGTATATTTAAAACATCTCAACATATAATCATTGTTAAAATACTAATAATATGTTTGCATTTGTATATTTATACCAAATCTGAAATATATTCACTCAGAGTGAATCTCAATTCAGACTTGACATGTTACATATTCAATAGCTACATAGGGCTAGTGTTTTAGTCAGGTTTTTGTCACTGAGACCAAAAGACCCAACAAGAACAACTTAGAGGAGGAAAGAATTTATTTTGGCTCACTGTTTCTGAGCTTTAGTCCATGGTCAGCTGATTCCGTAGCTCTAAGCCAGAGGTGAGGGAGAAGAACATTATAGTGGAAGGGAGTGGTACAGGAAAGTTGCTTAGTTTGAAAACCAGGAAGCAGAGAGCTCCATTCATCAGGGACAAAATATAAACCCCAAAGTCACACCCCCAGTGACCTCCTTCCTCCAGTCATACCCTACCTGGCTACAGTTACCACCCAGTTAATCCAGTCCAGTGAATTAATTCACCAATTAGGTTACAGTTCTCATAATCTACTTATTACGCCTCTCAACATTCTTGCATTGTCTCTCACATGAGCTTTGAGGAGATACCTTGTGTCCAAAATATAATTTAGTGACTAGAGTATTTAGTGAAAAGTTAGTAGTAAAGACAGATGCATAAACATAATTTCCAGAATAAGGAGACCTTGAACATTTGGAAGCAAACTATAATAAGACCTTTATGAATCTCAACATTTAATAAATTTTGCTGTTAAAATATCATTTCCCTGTAAAATGGAATAAAGTCTATGATTAATACTTCAATTTACAATTCTACAAAGGAATCTTCCTGTTCATCCACAAGGCACTCACAAAATGAGCCCCAAATGAATGGTGTCCTGTCTCAATCTTCCTGACGGCACAGAGAAGAATGCCTGAAACTGCAGCAGCTGTCTCACCTTGGCAGACAAACAAAGGAGAGCAAGGATCATTGTTTAGGGACCATGCGTACCATGATGAAAGGCCAAACCCAGTAACTCAGGAAGCTTAGGCAGGAGGAGTGCAAATTCAAGGCCAGCCTCAGCAACTTAGCCAGGTCCTAAGCAACTTAGTGAGACCCTGGGTCCAATGAAAAAATAAAAAGGGCTTGGATATAGCTCAGTGGTTAAAGGGCACCTGGTTCAATCCCCAGGACCAAAAGAAACAAATAAAAGAAAAAGTCTGAAGCAACAGTACTGACCCCGTCAGCAGTACTGTCCCCTGTGAATGTCTGTGTTTCACTCTTAATCATCTCCTCAAGGAAGACAAAGTGGTTGCACCAATAACATCAAAGACCTGTAGAAGTCGAGGTCTAAAAGTTAATAAATCAATGGGAAGTGAAATATCTTATTTTGATATAACCCTGGGAGGGTGGGAACACATTGGTGCGAGGCCGGCTGTGAGTCTGTGACAGCAGTAAAGGGAGAGGATGTCTTTCTGCTCAGGGTTGGAACCTTCTACTTATGTGACACTAAAATGACCAACCTAATCCCATGAGACTTTGCAGGCTGCATCTCAATGGGGTTGCAATGTGTTCACCTCATGATCCAAGGCCAGGCTTTAAAGCCACAGCTGTTCTC